ACTGCACCTTCGCTCCCTGCAGGGAGACCCTCACCTCCCACTGCAGACCTGTCAGGGCCCAGGAGCTCCGGCCCACGGACACGCAGGAGAGGTGGACATGGACCAGGACGTGGAGACGTGGGAGCAGGTGTTTCAGGAATTAATTCGGGAAGTGAAACCAGGGCATCAGTGGACCCTGACGCCAGACAAGGGCCTACTCCCCAACATCCTGGAACCAGGCTGGGTGCAATACCAGCAGCGGACTTTCGCCAGGTGAGGAGGCACGCGATGGTTCACAATCCAGAAAGTTCTGCCTTATTTCCCATCGTGTACACTGGTTACTTCCCTAGCTCCATTCCATGCTTGCAAATGGAAAACCCCAGACATCAAGTCCCCACCGACCAGGAAATTTCAGCTCCATTTAAGGCTTCCTCCCTGTAATGGTCACTGGCAAACAATGGCCGGCCTGGGCCGCAGCCAGCGTCAGGGTAAACCCACCCAGCCAGACTGCAGGAGGGAGCAGGGCACAGGGGCAGGGGAGGCTTGCGGCCGTCTCACCCAAGGGCGGGCTGAGCTCTCACCTAGGGAGGCTGGTGGGTCCACCACGGAGGTGCTGGCAGAGACCCCTGCTCCGAGGAGAACCCTGGGGAGGCCAGAGGAGCAGGGGCCGAGCAACCGCGGCAGCCCTGCCCCTCTGCTCAGAGCTCCTTCAGACAGGACTCAGAGCTCTTGCAGCCTCAGCCCCTTTCCCAGGTGGGAAGGTGGAGCTCAGGGCCTGGGGGCGGCAGGGCTGCCCTGGGCATGCAGAGGGGGGTTAGGCTCTCCTGTCTGCTCTCCCCAGCTTCGGGAGCAACTGAGCAGTCTCGGTCCCTTCCTCGTGAGGCCTTGGAGCACTCGGGAGGGCTCCGTGCAGGCCGCTCCTGTGCATGCTGACACGTGACTCCCAGCAAGGGCGTCCCCCATTCCTGCCTCACAGTCGCCCTGCCAGGCGTGGCCAGAAGCAACACCAAGGGTGAGAGCTTCACGCTCCCATCCTTTCCAGCCCCTCTGGGCCACAGCCCAGACCTCGCGGACCCTGCCTCAAGCCAAGAGGGCTGGGCTCAGTCACCGGAGCAAGGAAACCCAGAAAGGTCAGGGACATACCCCCCACACGGCATCCACGGCAGCAAAGGGGGAGGAAGCCGGGAGTCTCACCAGCGTTCCTGGGGCCAGGTCTGGAAGGTGTATGTCCCTGCTCGGTCCCGCTGGCCCCACGGCCCCAGCCTAAGCGCGAGGCAGGGCACGAGAGCATAGGTCTGGAGTGAGCACAGGGGTCCCGGCGTGCTCCACCCCATCACACCTCCCCTGCGGCAGCCACCTGTCCCCACAGCCCGCTCCCTGCTGAGATGAGTGTCCCTCTCTCTACCCTGTCTGAGGCCAGTAGCGCTGAGAATATGGAGCTGCCCGTTGAACAGAGAGAGAGAGAGAGAGAGCCGGACTCCGTGGTCCCCGGGCCACCGAGGTCACCGAAGCAGCTTCTGCCTAGGACACCAGCCTTTCGAGCCCCCTCCCTGACCCATGGTGCCTGACTTCGCCAACTCCTGTTCGTACCCACCGCAGACCTCAGGGAGCGTTCTGGACTGGCTTTTGTGGCACGTGGAGCCTTTGGCCCATTTAAGTCCACGCTGGAAGAAACTTCGGATAGGGGTCAGGAGCCTGGAGTCCTGGCCGGGTTCTTACAGCCTCAGGCCCTGGGTGCGCTGACAGGGCATGCTGGACGCACCTGGCACCCGAGGTCCCTCCGGCTCCCACAACTCGGGCCGTCCTTTTCTCGTGGCAGATCCGTGGGTGGCAGAGGTGTCGGTGGCACAATGGCGATGTCTCCCAGGGGCTGGTGGTGAACTCGCTGGGACTCTGCACCCTGGTGGCCGCAGCCCCACACGGTCCCCGAGCCCGGCTGAGGCTGTCGCTGTCTCCGCAGGTTCCAGTGCTCCTCCTGCTCCCGCCACTGGGCCTCGGCCCACGTGCCGGTCCTGTTCCACATGCACTGGAGCAAGGGCCTGGCCAAGGGCCGCGTGAAGGTGCGGGTCTTCGCCCAGAGATGTAAGAAGTGCTGCCAGGCGCCGTTTGAGGTTCCCGAGTTCACCCCGGAGAACGTCTCGAGGGTCCTCAACAACCTGGTGCTCCATGTTCTGAAGAAATGCTACCGGGAAGGCTTCCAGCTGACGCAGGCGGTTCCCACGATCAAGGAGGCCGCGCTTGAGGGGCCCCATGACAGCCTCAACTGCGAGGCCTGTCTGCAGGGCTTCTGTGCTCAGAGTGGGCTAGGCCTGGCCACACAGGCGCCTGTGTCCCCAACCATGCTCAGCCCCTCCAAGGACACCAGGAAATCCAAGGTCCCGGCCACACAGGCACCTGTGTCCCCAACCATGCTCAGCCCCTCCAAGGACACCAGGAAATCCAAGGTCCCGGCCACACAGGCACCCGTGTCCCCAACCATGCTCAGCCCCTCCAAGGACACCAGGAAATCCAGGGTCCCGGCCACACAGGCACCCGTGTCCCCAACCATGCTCAGCCCCTCCAAGGACACCAGGGAGTCCAGGGTCCCGGCCACACAAGCACCCGTGTCCTCGTGCCAGCCTGTCCCCTCCAAGGACAGCAGTGGACCACGGGCCCCTATCTCACAAGCACCAATCTCTCCGTCCCTGCTCACCCCTTCCAAGGACAGCAGGGAAACCAGAGTTTCTATCACGCAGGTAGCCGTGTCCCCATCCCACCCCACCATTTCCAAGGACACTAGGGGGCCCGGGGTCACTGGTACTTCTACCCACCTCCCCTCCTCACATCCAGCCTCTGACGTGGACAAGCAGCATGTGATGACAGCTGGTCCCCAGACTTATAACCCTCCTAAGATGGCCAGTGCCCTCAGAGTTAGTGACACCATGAAACCATCAACTTCTTCAAGATGTCCAACCCAGCAGGTGCCACTGCCGAGCTCTACCCCTGGGACAGCCAGCCACATCCCTTTTTCCACAGAGAACAGCCCCGCCAGGAGCGCCAGGCCGGGGACAGCAGAGGCGTCGCCCATGCTCCCCTCGCTTCCTGAGTGCAGCCAGCCAATTAGCACCCCCAATCTTTGGAGCCTCGGAGAGAACACCATCAGCCAGGCGGACTGGGGGGTGCAGGGAGTCCCCCACAGAGGGCCCAACTGGGGGTCTGACTGTACCTGCCCTTCCTGTGACCCCCCACGGGAACGCGTGCGTTCCTTCTGCTGCTGCTTCCTCCTTGTCGTCGTTGTCATCACCGTGCTCAAAAGCTTCATGTGAGCCTCCACCTTTTACACCCTTGGGGTCCCAGATTCCCAGGTAGAGGGAGACACGCGTGCTCACCATGGGCAGAGAGGGACCGGTGTGACACCGCAGGGGACTTCCCAGGCTCCCCGTCCAGCCGAGGAACCTGGACAGGCAAGAAGCACTGCAGAGGCCGAGCAGGAAAGCAGGCTCCCTCCTGCCTCTGATCTTCCCAGGGGGTCCAGCAGGGCTTAGCCAAGGGCTCATTCCAGTCCTCTGTCCGCACCTTCCCTTACCCGGACCCGCCATGGTGCTTCCAGCAGATGGCCAGGGATGGGCAAGGAGGGCCATAGAACCATTTAACGGCGACGTTGTGTTTGAGAACAGGAGTATGGACATCTAACTATTGGTCTGTGAACTATTGATATTTCTCAATGTGTTCATCTTGCTCTTAATCCTTCCTTTTGGGGCCAGCAGATGGCATGGTGGTTAAAGTGCTGGACTCCCACACGGCCGACCACTGTTTGAGTCCTGTACCTGATCTCTCTCTCTCTTTCTCTCTGATAAAATAAAAAATAAATAAGTAAAGTTAAATAAAATAATCCTAAAAAAAAATCCCTATTGTTCAGGTTTCATGGAAGGCTTGACGTCTGAAATTGTTATCAGGGTGTTTCAAGTGAACCGACAAACAGCCCAGCACAGTGCGGTCTGTCCTGGTGATTCGGTGTGTTCGTTACCTCTGACTTACTGTTGCGGAGAAACAGCAGCGAGGGACGAAAACACAGCACTCCAGAGAACTCTAATTACGCTGGTGGGCATGGAGGAGTCAACACTGAATCTCAGGCCTCCTTTAGGGGTTAAGCACAGTCTTATCGGAGAGTTTGGGGAGGGGCGGTTCTCAGCTGGCTAAGGGTATCCTATCAGGAAGAAGCAATCCATCAGGAAGACACAGCCCAGAGTTTGCTCTCAGGAAGAAAGGGTCAGATAAGCGGGGTGTCCGGCTTCTCAAGGTCTCAGATTGCTTTTATTACTCTAGAGGAGAGAGGCAGAGGCAGTGAATTCACAGAGGCCGGGGAGATTTGGCAATTGCCGGCCTCGGGCTGTTGTGAGTTCCGGGCCCATCCCCCTGGAGATGATTTCTCACACATCCCCAGCCCCGCTCCCCCTGGTGCTCACGCAGGCTATAGTAAAAACAGAACAGAACAATAAGCTTTCAGAATAACGAAATAGGCCCTCATCTAATGGATCCGATATCACTTTTATCCCTCTGGGATGGGAAGAATGAGGTGAGGGCCATTCCCAACACCTACAATAAAGCAAGAGACCCTGACAGACAGGAGCTGGCTGACAGACCCAGCCTGATCAGCCGGAACCAAGGGCGTTGCAACTGAACTCGTTAGCGTGTTAGCGTGTCAAGTGACACCATCACCTCCACCATGACCGTTTACGATAACCATGGCAAGAAAAAGAACCACCCCATTAAGGCCAGAAAATGGGAGGGACAGTGATTCCAGAAAAACCACCACCAATTACACGCCCTGGCAAGAAGCCAAGCCACATAAGTCAGACATCCGCTGCAGCTCCAGGCTGCCCTGCCCCACCGAGGGCGGCCCTACCAGTTCTCCTTTCTCTGTCCTCCCAAAGCCCCAGCCAGGGAAGCAGGGGCAGTACACTCGCCCTGGGTTTATCCCCTGATCCTGTCCACCCAAGACTGTCCCCTCCCTTGAGGCTGCCCCACTACTGGGTACCCTGGCTGAACACTTTCCTTATAAACACCTTCCCGCTCTCGAAGGCTCGCTCTCAAACCCCTTCCTGCACAAAGCCAAGGCCCCTCACAGCCTGGAGAGAGACCCCCATGGGTTAACAGTAACACCCGGATTCCCAAACACAAGGCACTCACCTTCAGAATCAGGTCTTTTAGTTACAATTTTTAAAAATATATTAAAGTATATATTTTCTAAAATATTACATGTTATTACTTGGAAGTAAATGTAGGCAAGTCAACCTGCAAATATTAATATATAAGCCAATTGATAAACTCTCTAATCCATAGTGACAGATACTCCAATATCTGAAATTTGAAAGTAATTTTTCCTCACAGCTATGATGGTGGACAGTTTCTAGACTGTCCTTAAGCATGAGTCACCGTTCCTACGCGAGACGACCCATCACACGAACACCTACAGCTCCACACCGAGAGATTTCGCCGTCTTCTGGTGGGTGACATCAGAGTTGAAGGCTAAAGGATACTTTGGTGGTGTAACTGGGAACAGATTCTGGAACAGACGGAAAAACATGATCAATGTTGCACCATTTTACTACGAAATGTAACTACGTGGCCCGTCGATATACAAATGACTGCCACGTCATGTTTTAAAGAGCAGAGAGTGTATAGGTAATAGCACATTTGTCATCCTCAAGTCAGCGCCACAGATGTGCAGTGGAGCTACAGCCATGTTTAGACCTGGGGCGGCAGGTGGAGTGATGGTTAAGGCTCTGGACTCCCACATGGCCGACTGCAGTTTGAATCCTGGACTTGGAGGCTTGCTTTCTCACTCTCTCTCTCTCATAAAGTTAAAAATAATAATAAATCTAAAATTAAATACATAATTCTTTTAAAAAAGAGAAATGTTTAGCTCTAAAATAGAATCATTAACTCTTGTTCTTGGGCCGTCTTTCCAACCAACTCACACAGTTACATCAAGAACTTGGAAACTGCACAACCCTGTGGTAATCAAAGTTGGCCAAAGTACAAACAGATGGTTCAGGACTGGACTGGGAGGGAGCGAGAGAGGAGTTTTATAGAGAAGTCTAGGCTGTCCCTGACCCAAGTCGGTCACGCTGAGTAAACTGTGTCCCAACCAGGCTTTTCCCACTGCTCACTGCCCCTCACCCCCCAGCTAAATTAAACCGCTGGTTTGCAAAAGGTCATTCTTGGACCACAAAGTCAGCGTCACCTGAGAGCCTGTTACAAACGCATCTTCAGGACCAGCAGATGGCATAATGGTTACTTTGCATCACTGAACTCCCATGTAGTCTACTGCAGTTCGAGTCCTGGACCCATCACGACAGGCACGTGTGTGTGTGTGTGTGTACACGCACGCCCAAAATACCAAGAGAAAATGGAGGAGAAAGGATTGCAGCGTGGCCATCCCCCCGGGCACGTGTGTGTGTGTGTGTGTGTGTGTGTGTGTGTGTGTACACGCACGCCCAAAATACCAAGAGAAAATGGAGGAGAAAGGATTGCAGCGTGGCCATCCCCCCGGGGGGTGATTTCCTACTTTCTGTGACTTGGGCAAGCACATGTGCCCTATAGCACAAACCTCTCTAAAAAAAAAAAAAAACAGGCCAGCAGGTGGCAGAGTGGTTAAGGCACTGGACACCCCCAC